ACTCCCTATACAAAAGACATTATCAAGTGAGAGTGAATGGCGAAATGTCTAAGCAACATCCAGTCAGCAGCGGAGTTATTCAGGGATCAGTAATAGGGCCTTTGCTTTTTACGGCATATCTCTTCGATCTTGTCGACCTGATTGAGACGAAAATGAAAAATTTTGCTGATGATGGTAAAATATATGCAAACCCCTGTCTTAACGCAATTCAGCTCAAGAGAGATCTTCAAAGAATCGAGGAATGGTCCAGTACCTGGGGGATGAAACTAAACGAATCTAAATGCACAGTATTAAGAATTGGTCCAAACAACCCAAACGAACAATACACATTGAATAACACAGTTTTGTCAGTAGTGGATGAGCAAAATGACCTGGGTGTTATCGTGACTGCAAATTTAAAATGGGAAAACCACATTCTGAAAATAGCCAAAAAGACCAACTCGTTCGTCTACCTTGTAAAACAGGCATTCAAAGACCACACAATGGAAATGATTTCAATACTATATAAAAGCTATATTAGGCCAAAACTTGAGTACGCTTACACAGTATGGAACCCATATTACGTAAAAGATATTGAGATCCTGGAAAAAATACAAAGAAGAGTCACGAAGATACCCAATGAACTGAAAAATTTACCATACCCAGAAAGACTGGAAAGACTTCAATTAACAACGCTAAGGGAGCGAAGACATAGAGGAGACCTTATCGAAACGTATAAAATAATTAGTGGACACTATCAGTGCGAAATCAAGAACATCTTTCGTCTCAACCAGAATCCACAGCTTCGAGGACATTCTATGAAAATAGACAAGGAAAGGGCTGCTAAACTCCAAAGGAAGAATTTTCTGACCAATCGTGTGGTATATTCATGGAATGCACTCACAGAGGAAACGGTTACTGCAGCAAACGTTAATATATTTAAAAATCGTTTAGACAAAGAATTAAGACAGAGTGCAGCAAGAATGATCCATTATGGCGCATAATTAAAGGAAAATGTAAACAATAACAAATTTTAAAGAGACAATAGCTTCATCGGTACACCGCTTGCTATTGGATAATTACATTACATTATTATTAGAAACTTTGATAAGTTTGTCAACTATCTCCCAGAACACAAACATAACACCAGGTCAATTGTCTTAAACTATCCAGTGCACAGGCTTGCTCTCACTGAGACTGCACCCACCTACATGTGTATAAAACTCTTCAACTTTCTTCCCCAAAAATTAAAATTAAAAATAACAGAAAACTGTTTTAAAAAACTTTTATTTCAGCATCATGTTTCAATAGAGCCTTACACGATTAATGAATTTCTAAATTAAGATGTACCTACCTAGTAATAACTGATAACTATTTTGTTCTTCTCTAGTGGTAAATATTTTGTTCCTTTTAACTGTTTGCCAGACTTGTGATAACTTTTTGTCGAGCTTTTTGTAATATTTTATATTTTAAACTGTAAAATTGTCTTTCTTTTTTTTTATATAAAGTACCTGTCTTTTTAACTGTTCTGTTCTTTTTATCTATGTATGTACTAATTGAGTCTATGACTTACTTTTTATTGTTTGTCTGTAAGCACAATTTATTTAGTTTTTTTTCTGCAACTCTATAAATTCTAAAATATTCAAGTTATATTCTGGAAAAAATTTTAAAATGTTCTTTTTTTACTCTTTTATTTGGAGAATACTTATTGTTGTGAAACTCAAATTTAAATTTAACTCTAGGTATATATTTTGACACTATTTAGTTTAGTACAACAATTGATGTTTTTTATATTCTGTTTTTTATTTCTTTAAAATAAAGATATTCTGATTCTGATTGTACTATACCATGATAAGAGTTTTGAATAAAGAGCAGTTATGAAACTGCAATCATGAAATTCTCAACAAAATAATTGAAGTAAGTATAGTTTTTCCAAAGTCAATTGGAACAAAGTGAACATAAATTATAAGTGGTGGCTGACTAGTGGCAGTGCATTTCTTATGGAAATTTTTAGTAACCAGTCAGCCACCAGTTGGTTCCTTGTTCCAATTGAGTTTGGAAATACTATAACAATAGTTGTTACTATTACCAATAATTATACCTCTTGTACACTCGACTTATTTAGAAAACTTTATTGAACGCAATCGCGTGTGTTACTACGCACGCGCTTGCGCTCCTTTCGACCCCTCCTACTGCCCCTTTTCGGCATGTTTTCACAAGGCAGGATCAACTTTGTAGATATTGAGGTCTTTAATTTGACACCTCATTCAGGGTAAAACTTGACAGGTGACACAGGTGTTGTATCTGAACCGCCAAAGATGAGACCACACTGTGTCGCAATTACTTGCACTGCCATTTTTTTCTTGCAAGTTTTTACAAGGCAGGATCGACTTTTTAGAAAGAGGACATCGAGACCTTTAATCTGATACCCTATTTAGGGCAAAACTCGTTGGGGGTAGTTTGTTGACGTCAAAGAACACCTTCGTGGAGGGTTATGTGGCAGGTTTGGACAAGGCAAGAACACATATTCCGATGCTCTGCACTGCCCCCTATGCATGCATGTATTTTTTTTATTAAAAATATCATGGGGATTCTGCTGTTTCTTTCAATTTGTTGAAAGGTATTTCTGGCAGCATTCGCTCTTCGTCTCCCTAACTACTATGGGTACAGTTCTCCTATGACTAGATTTTTAGGACGGGCAAATGCTGTGACAGACAAATTGAATGTAAGTGTTTTCAATAATGGATTGGAAAGTTTTAGAAGTAAAGGTGATGTTTTTATTAAATTTTGGTTTTTATTGTGTGAAAAAAATCACCACAGGTTAAGCCTATTATCATGATTAGTTTAAACTATTTATCTTTATCACAAGGGGTAAATCACCTTGGAGTGTACTAGGTGATACTTTGCGCCCACACCTATCTCACCTGTTCGAAGAGATACCCAGAAATGTCAAATGTGAAAGATGTATCAGAAAGTTTTCAATGAAGTTAGTTACAAGTTTACTGAGTGTGTCACAAAAGTGTGGCACAGCAAAGTTAAACTTTTTAAAGTGGAATACCCTGTATATTATTGACTTATTCGACTAGCCTTTCAAACCTGATTCCAAATATACAGGTTTTCCAATTATTCAAATTCATGTACCAATAGATGGCACTAAATTACGCGAAAATAGCAATATGTCTGTTTATCTCAGTGAACAACAAAGCTAGTTTTTTGAGGTTAATTTTTGTTAAATTGAGTTTTATGTCGTTTTTGTAATTTATATAACAGAAACAATACATAAAAAGAATAATATTCTGTAGAAAATTAGAAACTTCAAATGCAAACTTGCTTTGTTTTTGTTGTTCACTGAGTTTTGAGTACCAAAGTTGATCCTAGATTTCGCCTATTTCGGGACCTTCCACGAATAGTCCAGCTTCTGAGTATTTCATTTTGAAGAAATAATACATGGATTTTTTACTTGAATGATACTTTTATATTTTGCTGATGAAGGTCTCTATACTTCACCTTTTTCAATAAAAATGCAATTATTCTACCCCTTTTTTTCTTATTTTCTCTTATACTATTGGGAATAAACCTAAAAATCCTAATATATTTGGAAACAGATTTGAAAGGCTAATCCAATAGGTCAATAATATATGAGGTGTTTCATTTAAAAAAGTTGAATTTTGATTTGCCACACTTTTGTGACACACCCTGTATACGTGTAACTAACTTTATTGAAAACTTTCTTATATTACCTACAACTTCCACGTTTGACATTTCTGGGTATCTCTTCAAACTAGTGAGATAAGTGTGGGTGCAAAATATAGGCAATCACCCAGTACAAGCATGTGGGATTCCAGTGGTTCCACAGATAAAACTATCTCACTACAAAGACTGTCAACTGTTTTTTGGAACTTTTAATTACAATGAGATTATACATACACAATATTGAAACATATAAAACATTTACATACTTGAAATGATGTATTATATGCCCGAAGATGAAAAGTTTTCTAATAAAATTCAATATTCAATACCCGCAGTTTCTGATGTCAGACAAAAAAAAATATAGGGAAAAAACTGCTGCAGATAAATAGATGATGACGAAAACCAATCAGACATCCAAAGTTGGAAAGAAGCCAAGGAAAAAAAGCACATTAACTAGATCTACAAGCAAGAAATGAAAATAGAAATAAGCTTATTTGATGAGTTTGGTACATTTTTTGAGAAGAATTTTCGATTTTGTATGCATTATTTTATTATTGATGTTGATGTGTAAAATACTTTGAAAAAATATTAAAATTATGTTGTTCTACATCCCTAACTTTTGTTGTATATGGAATTTCTTTGAAGTGCAAGTGCCACACTCTTTTGCATTTACTCCGGACATCTGAGAAATCAGTCATTGTTTGTGAAACAAATATAGTTATCAATCAACATGATTTTTCAATATCACTTTGCCTAATTATATTCTTCAGGAAATTCAAGATTATACTTTAAAGCTGTTTCCTCTTTTGACACTAAATGGACCTAGAACAAACACTTTAATACTATGGTGACACGCTGTCAGGGATCAGGATGCAAATTACCTCGGACTGTCGCCTGATTTTATCCATTGTTTTTGCAGTTTGGAGATGATTGAATAGGTCAGACATTAAATATTTTCAAGTCTTTGAAGATTGCACCACAGGCTGAACGTTGATATTTGTACCCTTTCAAATATAATTTTCATCCTTGACACCTGTTTCGAAACTTGGGTATTTGATATCTATTGAGAATAGGCCGATCGATTTTCTTTAAAATGACAGTGACAAATTTTTCTTCACAGCTCTGTTACTTTCGATCTGATTTCATTGTAATTAGGCGCAAATTGCCAAATGAATTCTCTGCAAATCTCAAGTTGATAGTTTCAAGGCAGCTTCAACAGTTTTGTAGAGTTCAAGAGCATGAAATGCCAAACAAAGCTGCAAACCATCTTTCTTCATCATTCATCATAAAAAATTATTATTTTTAAAATCTGTCTATGGATTTTCCAGTGATGATTTGGCAACTGCCATCCTCCGCAAAAAAGACAGGCCAAACAGACTCATCGTCGAGGAAGCCGTCAACGATGACAACTCCGTTGTCGCTCTATCTCAAGCCAAAATGGACGAGCTGCAGCTTTTCCGTGGCGACACTGTTCTTTTGAAAGGTACATCATCCCTATTAGTAGTCAAACAATAATTATTAAAATATTTGTATTACAGGTAAAAGACGCAAAGAGACTGTCTGTATTGTCTTATCTGATGACACATGCAGCGACGAAAAAATTAGGATGAATCGAAACGTTAGAAACAACTTGCGGGTCAGGTTGTCTGACGTAGTCTCAATTCAACCTTGTCCTGATGTTAAATATGGCAAAAGAATTCACGTTCTCCCCATAGATGATTCTGTTGAAGGTCTCACCGGCAACCTCTTTGAAGTGTATTTGAAACCATACTTCCTTGAAGCTTACAGACCAATTCACAAAGACGACGTTTTTATCGTCAGAGGAGGCATGCGTGCTGTGGAATTTAAAGTTGTAGAGACGGATCCTGCTCCATTTTGTATAGTTGCTCCTGACACTGTTATTCATTGTGATGGAGATCCTATTAAACGTGAAGAAGAGGAGGAAGCTTTGAATGCTGTGGGTTATGATGATATCGGAGGCTGCAGAAAGCAACTGGCACAAATCAAGGAGATGGTTGAGTTGCCTTTGAGGCATCCATCATTGTTCAAAGCTATTGGAGTTAAGCCTCCAAGAGGAATCTTGTTGTATGGGCCCCCAGGTACAGGAAAGACATTGATTGCTAGGGCTGTGGCTAATGAAACTGGTGCCTTTTTCTTTTTGATTAACGGTCCCGAAATTATGAGCAAATTGGCTGGCGAATCTGAAAGTAATTTGCGTAAGGCCTTCGAAGAGGCAGATAAAAATTCTCCTGCTATTATATTTATTGATGAATTGGATGCCATTGCCCCAAAAAGAGAAAAAACCCATGGAGAAGTGGAGAGACGTATCGTTTCTCAACTTTTAACTTTGATGGATGGCATGAAAAAATCCTCTCACGTAATTGTAATGGCTGCTACCAACAGACCCAACTCAATAGACGCTGCTCTACGTCGTTTCGGACGTTTCGACAGGGAAATCGACATTGGCATCCCAGACGCCACTGGCCGTTTGGAAATCCTCCGTATCCACACAAAAAACATGAAATTGGCCGACGACGTTGATTTGGAACAGATTGCTGCTGAAACTCACGGACATGTTGGTGCCGATCTCGCTTCGCTTTGCTCTGAAGCCGCTCTGCAACAGATCCGTGAAAAGATGGATTTGATTGATTTGGAAGATGACCAAATCGATGCTGAGGTTCTCAATAGTTTGGCTGTTACGATGGAGAACTTCCGTTATGCTATGACAAAGAGTAGTCCAAGTGCTCTAAGAGAAACTGTAAGTAACTTTTTTCCCTATTGAATATATTTATTTGTTAACATCAATGATATTAAATAGGTAACAAGAATTTTTGTGATGTTATGTTTAAACAATCCGTTTCTGCAAAATTTCTAAATATACTTTCAATCCCACTATAAATAAACAAATACATTGAAAAACTTATAATAATTATTATGATTGTCTTTAATTAAAAATTCTCATTTAGGTTGTTGAAGTTCCCAACGTCACATGGGAAGATATTGGAGGTTTGGCCAATGTCAAAAACGAATTGCAAGAATTGGTACAGTACCCAGTGGAGCATCCCGACAAGTTTCTCAAATTTGGTATGCAACCCTCAAGAGGAGTACTCTTCTACGGTCCGCCTGGTTGCGGTAAAACTCTCTTGGCCAAAGCTATCGCCAATGAATGTCAAGCGAACTTCATTTCTGTCAAAGGTCCTGAACTATTGACCATGTGGTTTGGTGAATCTGAAGCTAATGTTAGGGATATATTCGATAAGGTAAGAATTATTTGTTTAACTTATTGTATTTTTTCAGTGTTGTAACACTTCAATTCTTGATTGATATCAAATATAAATAATTATAATAATCTGACAATACCGCTTCCTATAGAGTCAAAATACTAACTTTTGAACCTCCAAATTTTTAGGGACATTAACCAGGGTGATTCCAAAGTAAGCGGCATCCTTTCGGCGGCGTATTCCTCGCATAAAAATAAGACAAAAAGTTCCTATTAACATGGGTCCGGAAATGCTTCCTAAGGGAGCTACGCCCCTTTGAATAGGACACCTGAAAGACGTATTTTTCTCTATAACTTTGAAACCCTTCACAAATGGATTTTGAAAATTGGTGTATCTTATAAACATTTGATAGCAATTAAGATAGTAAATTGAAAATTCAAAAATTTTAATCAGTGGCGTCACATACTGGGGAGGGTGAGGGTTAAAACATCCCTATTTTTTTTACTCGTCAGGTTTTTGCGATTCTGATTAAAAATTCAGAAAGTTTACAGTTTTTTACACAGAAAAGGTACTCTTGGTTCAATTCGATACAGCGTACCATTTACGAGAAAATTGACTTTGAAAATTTTCTGATTTGCGTATGTTTCGCAAAAATTTGACGAGTAAAAAAAAAAAGGCATGTTTTCACCCTCCCCAGTATGTGACACTGATGAAGATTATTGAATTTTCAATTTAGTATCTCAATTGCCATCAAATGTTTATAAAATGCACCAATTTTCAAAATTCATTTGTGAAGGGTTTCAAAGTTATACAGAAAAACACGTCTTTCAGGTGTCCTATTCGAAGCGGCGTAGCTCCCTTAGGAAGCATTTCCGGACCCATGTTAATAGGAACTTTTTGTCTTATTTTTATGCAAGGAATATACCCCCGAAAGGATGCCGCTTACTTTTGAATCACCCTGTAGATTTTGTTCAGATAGTCCGAGCAAACTAATTCAAAATGGCGGCGAATCTTGCATTAAATGATGGTGTTCCAATTTTTTCAGAAATGTGTAGGGGATGATCTCACTTTTTTCAGTTTTTGGCTTTTATGTCTAAAATGGTGCGTCCCACAGAAAATTTTATGCCTTGTTAAATTGAAGCTATTAAAATTTCCTTTCGAACGATATATATGTATTTATACCTAAGTATTACCGTTTTCCAGATATGAGCCGCTGAATATGCAAAATTGTCAAAAAAAGTAGTAGCAGTTTAGGTATCTCGTAAATATTTTTATTTTCAACTGTCTATGTAATATTGACATTACAGACTTTAAAATATTGAAACTGTCAAATTTCTTTACTTTGACATTTTATCGAGACTGCAATGTTTATGCCTGCATAGGCAGGCATATCTGTTTCCGTTCCGATTTCCCTGCTTGTTTTTTTGTCAAAATTGATGACATTGACAAAAAAAAAGTGAAAGATGATTTTTTATAAGGCCAATTCATACTATTATTTCGTACTATAAAACCTTTTTCCTCAGAAATTGGGGGTTGAAAATAAGATAGTATACAAATCTCGACGGAAAACTTCATTGCTGTCTCGAGGTTTAGTTTATCTTGCGTCTCGATAAACTATATAACTTCTTGACCAGCAATGAAGCATTTTCCGTCTCGGATTGTAATATACTATTTTTCTTGATATTACAGTAAGAAAAAAAGTTGTAGACCAAAAAATTTTTTTCAAATGCTTCAAGAGATAATTTTGCTTCTTTACCTTAACCCAGTAAGTGGTTAGGGTATTTGGAAGTTAGGGATACGATTGAATTTTTCGCTATTAAAATGTTCGTTGCTTAAGTTTCGTTTATTCTTAAAAGTTTAAATAACATTTATTTTTATTGGATATATTTTATTCTCAATCAATTTCATCTTCTTCAGAAAAAGTTCCGAATAGATGAAGCTCTTCTTCAAAATGACCCAAGTCTTGTTGCATAAGCACACTGTTTGTACAGGAACCTTGACAGTTACTGCACACCATTGAACAGTTCATTCCAGCTCTCCTGCAACCACACCTTGTTCCTCAGCCAGTGGTACATCGACAGAAGAGTGTTTTGAGGACACTGTCTGGGGCCAAAGGGACATCTGTCTTGATGGGGTTGAAGTATCCACCATTTTTTCTTATCCAACCTCAACTTTCAGCATGAAGGGATTAGTTCCCCAACCATTGCTGTACCTGCAGATACACTCTGTAAGAATTTCGCATGCCAGCTTCTTTTGTAGGCGGCAAAGCGCACAGGTTGGCTTTCATTTTTACACTTGATTTCACGATGCACATGTATCTGCGAACAAAACGGAACATCATAGAGTTGTAGATAGTGGTACATTAATGTTGAATATAACATTATTGTCTTATTAATAATATAACGTATTATTGTGTAATAATGAGTTACATGAATTATAAGATTTGTTAAAAAAGGGGAAAGTACGAGCAAAGAAAAATTAAATTACCTGTGGTGTGGTGATAAGATCATTCTCATTTGGCGGGGCTTGGTACATGAGCAAAAACATTCTTTCGCCAGCTTTAGCAATATCTTCCAGTGAAGATTTTGTGTTATAAGAGACTTTGGCGATGTTTGTTGTTTGTTTGGCATACCACTGAAAACATTGAACTATGGCTGCTTTGCTTTTACCATAAATCGCTGAAGTAGTGTCACATCCTGAGAAACTTTTAATAAAAAGAACGTGCTAGCTGAATACTAAGGTTGGAAGATGTTGTGAAGAGTAGAGCCTCTCTTTTGTGTTGCCCTGTCCAGCCTTCATGAAAAACACATTAGTTTCTTGTGGAGTGAGTACCACAAGTAAGACAAACAGGTGCGTCAGTGAAGTATCCACGATCGATAAAATCCTGTTTGAGGGTGGCGAGTTCTTATTCTCAGCATGTCTTGTACATATAGCCGAGCATATAGCTGAGTACATTTGGCATAGTGGAAATGACCGCTGGCATGTAAGTAAGGTATCATCGGTTGGGTGCATGTAATATGATCTTCCCAGTTACCAGTGTGCTGTGTTGCAATGAATTTTTTCATCAACACCATCATTTCAAAGTACTGAAACCACAAAGCTGCTGTTGGCCCATTACTTTTGAGACGTGACAATTCGCTGCTCAATTTTTGCTGAATGCTGGCAAGAGAGGCATTTGTGGCTATGTTGTAATTGTGGAGTAGTTTCCACTGAAGTCTGAAGTAGCTGAACTACTTGTTTTTTTTTCATCTGGTGTGATATCTACATTTACATTTTCCAAAGTAATCTGAGCTTCTATAAGATTTTCCGATTAACATTTTGTTTACTGAATTTAAAGCGATAGCGCAAGACAAAAGTTCTTCAGTCCATTGCCAGCCATATTGTCCGTCGATTTTAATTTGACACTTTTCGCATGAGGAGCAAGGGGGAGAAGTATATGGCAAAAACAGGTGTGACGTGGGGTGACCATTAGTGTTCTAACGTAAGGAGCCACCAGCTCAGATTTTTTTTATATATCAGATTAAAATCGACGGACTTTTTTTTTTTTGTTTTTACGGATATGCGCACTCGCAAGGAAATGTCCTATCACGCTCGAGGAGCGGCAAGTGCGCGGAAATGTCGGTGTATGTTGGTCTTGAAACGGTTCAGGTTGTAACCTGCAGGGAAAACCGTCGCAGGGAGTTTATTCCACAGCGATGCTGTTCTCCAGAGATATGAATTCTGATATAATGAGGTTCTTGGTGCCTCTAGTTTGACAGTAAATTCATGGTTACCGTCTGTTTGACGGGTTCGCCTGGTAGGCGCTACTCTCGGTGGAATCATACGTGCCAACTCTTCAGAGCATTTTCCGTGATAGTACCTGTAGAAGAGAGATAAATCGCCCACAGATCTGCGATGTTCGAGACCATCCAAGTTACGAGTAAGTGCGGGGTCATTGATCAGCTTGATAGCTCGTTTTTGCACGGTGTTCAAAAGCATTAAGGTATGTTTGGGTGCTGCACTCCATATATGTGAGCAGTACTCCATAGTTGGTCGAATCTGGGCTTTGTAGAGTGTCAGCAATTGGCTTGGTGTGTACAGATGTCTTGTACGAAATAGCACCCCAAGCTTTTGGGACGCCCTTTTAGCAATATCTGCCACGTGACTGTGCCAAGACATGTTGGTCTCTGCAGTAACCCCCAAGATGTTCAACTGACTCTGTAATGTGACAGCACTTCCAGATAGCATGATGTTTGGCTCACCGGTGCTGGTCTTTTTTGAAAACAGAGCTGCTTGGGTTTTCTGCGCGTTGAACTGTACAAGGTTTTTGTTACCCCAGTCCTCTATTATCTCCAAGTCGTTATTTATCTGCGATATTTGAGTTAGTCTAAGATGATGGAATTCACGTACGGAAAGACCTGTGGGTGGTATGAGTGAGGAGACTACATTGCCATCGTCTGCAAAGCAATAAAGTGGATTTACTGTTTTATCTATGAGGTCATTTATGTAAATCAGAAAAAGAGTTGGCGAAAGGATTGCTCCCTGTGGCACACCAGCATTTATTTGGTAAGAGTTGGAGTTCTGGTCATCCAGTGCAACATACATGGATCTGTCCTTTAGGTAACTTTCAAACCAAGTGCAAAGTTTCGGCGATAATCCCATTGCTTGCCCTATATTTTCGAAATCCGTATTGCTTATCGTTGATAATTTTGTACTTTTCCAAGTACTTGGTTAGGTGATTGTTCACAACTCTTTCCATTACTTTTGATATCACCGGAAGTAGAGCAATTGGTCTATAGTTTAACGGATCTGTCTTTTTTCCTTTCTTTGGAATGGGTTGTACTGCGGCAGACTTCCATGATGATGGATATACTCCTTGCCTGTAAGACAAATTGAATAATTTTGCGAAAGTTGGGGTGAGTTCGTTGGCGCAATTTTTGAGTACTATTGCGGGAATGCCATCCGGACCCATTGCTTTGTTTGTATCTAGCTTTTTAAGGGATTTTCGTATTTCTCTGTGACAAAAGGGTACCTCTGGCATACTATGGGAAACCCTTTCA